TTTTTGTCTTCCGATGATCTTTGGTTTAAATTTTTAATATATATATATATTTTTAATATACAAAGTGTTTTTTTTTACCGGTCAAGCTGAACATACGTGTAACATCAGGGCCCCGGTTGTTGTGACGATGTTGGTTAATACAATAGCTTATTGTCTATAGTTTTGTCTGTTTTGTCTCGCGTTACATGACGCGATGCATATTTCATAACCCCGTGATAACCCCGCCATTGAAGCCATATACCATGATGTTGTGACGCGTATCGCTATAGAGCCCGACCGTCCCCGGGGAGGCATTTATCAGATTTTACCGTTTTACGGTAGCTTGATGTGAAGGCTGGGGCACTGATAACGGTGCCCGTTGTCACACAGCCCCAACAGTAGTTACGCCTGCCCCTAGCAGTTGATGGCTCTTCCCGTACTAAGACCAATCCCCGTCGACAGTTTTGGTCACATGGCTGTCCCCGTATTTACGTTAACCCCCACCAGATGTGCTCTTTCGATAATTGACTTTCAGTGTAGGCTCTGTGGCGCTTTGTTTACTGTATTGTACCGACATGTGGTTTCTATCATGTCTGTATGTAACTCGAAGCACTAAGCTAGTCAATCACCACAGCGCATTGTATATTATACTTATATCCCAATGATAAAAGGTATATCGGCCATGGCAGTTAGCCTTAACTCCGGTCCATCACCTGTTTTCGTACAGACATTGTTTATCTAATGTGTGCCAAGGACGTTACAGTAGAACTTCAATATTAGCCCCTCCGTATATCATGTACAGTAAAAACTCGATAAAGTGTCCTGTACTTAACCATATAATGCCCATCGTATATCTCTAAGCAGTAAAACCTTGACCAAATGCGCATCGTATATCTCTAAACAGTAAAACCTTGATAAAATGACCATCGTATACCCCTAAACAGTTAAACCTTGATCAAATGACCATCGTATATCACTAAACAGTAAAACCTTGACCAAATGCCCATCGTATCTCTCTAAACAGTAAAACCTTGACCAAATGCCCATCGTCTATCTCTAAACAGTAAAACCTTGACCAAATGCGCATCGTATATCTCTAAGCAGTAAAACCTTGACCAAACGCCCATCGTATATCTCTAAACAGTAACAAACCTTGACCAAATGCCCATCGTATATCTCTAAACAAACCGTGATCAAACGCCCATCGTATATCTCTAAACAGTAAAACCTTGATTAAATGCACATCGTATATTTCTCAACAGTAAAACCTTGACCAAATTCCCATCGTATATCTCTAAACAGCAAAACCTTGATCAAATGCCCATCGTATATCTATAAACAGTAAAACCTTGATCAAATGACCATCGTATACCCCTAAACAGTAAAACCTTGATCAAATGCCCATCGTATATCTCTAAACAGTAAAACCTTGATCAAATGACCATCGTATACCCCTAAACAGTTAAACCTTGATCAAATGCCCATCGTATATCACTAAACAGTAAAACCTTGACCAAATGCCCATCGTATATCTCTAAACAGTAAAACCGTGATCAAACGCCCATCGTATATCTCTAAACAGTAAAACCTTGACCAAATGCCCATCGCATATCTCTAAACAGTAAAACCTCGTTATAATGGATTCATACATCACTTTACAGTTAAATCACGATATAATGCCACTAAATCGTTACTAAACAGTAAAATATCGATATCCCTCATGTATCCCGTTACAGCAATTATCGATGTCGCTCCCCTTGGTTCGCCTTGCTATACTATCCATCATTTAATTTGCCACCTCGCTTACCGCCAGCGAATTGTGGAGGCGTATCATGCGGGTACTTATTTACTTTACAGGAGGGCTGGCTACCTTATCAAAATTATAACTTTCGGTTGGAAATACTTATAATTTTGAACATAGACATTGTATGTCTAATAAGAGGCAAGTGTTCAACCACGTACCTTCATTTCCATAGATTGATGATGTTTCAAACATGTGCCAAATTGAAAATGCGCGCTTGTTATCCCTTTCTTTTAAAAGCTAATCAAATATATAGCGATTCTTCTTGTTTTTAGCTCACCTGCCCGAAGGGCAAGTGATCTTATGCCATGGCGTGGCGTCCGTCGTCCGTCGTCCGGCGTCCGTCAACTTTTCCTAAAAATCGCTACTTATCATAAACGACTGAGCAGATTTTGACCAACTTTGGCCAGTAGCATCCTTAGGGGGAGGGGAACAATTTTTGTATAAATGATGGGTCTGGCCCCTCTGGGGGTTGAGGGGCGGGGCCCAATAGGGGAAATATAGCAAATTATTTAAAATCCTTCTTCTTCTGTAGGAATGGAAGGATTTGTTTCATATTTGGTCTGAAGCATCCTTGCGTGAAGTGAAACCAATTTTGTATAAACCATAGGTCTGGCCCCAGAGGGTCCTGAGCGGCGGGGCCCAATAGGGGAAACACAGCAAGTTCTTTAAAATCCTTTTACTTCTGTAGGAATGAAAGGATTTGTTCCATATTTGGTCTGAAGCATCCTTGGGTGAAGGGGAACCAATTTGGTATAAAGTGTGGGTCCGGCCCCAAGGGGCCTGATGGGTGGGGCCGAATAGTCGAAACATAGCACATTCTTTAAACTCCTTCTACTACCGTAGGAATGAAAGGATGTGTTCCATATTTAGTCTGAAGCGTCCTTTGGTGAAGGGGAACCAATTTTGTATAAACCTTGGGTCTGGCCCCCAGGGGCCTGAGGGGCGGGGCCAAAGGGGGCAATTTGGCTATATTGCTACAAACGACTTCTTTTGTAGAACGTTGCACTGGATATCAACCATAATTGCCTTGAAGCATCCCTAGGTGGTGGGGATTCAAAATTGTACAAATAGTGGGGCTGACAACACCCCCCCCCCCTCCCCTTGCTTTGGGGTGGGGCCAAAAAAAAGTGTATTACTTGGAAATGATTGAGATCCCCACGGTATAACCATATATACAATTGTGGAGTACAATGGTTGAGATCCCCACCCGAAACTATATATACAATTATTGGGCATAAAGAGACGAATGCAGCCATGCTATTATAATTGACCCCAAGTTCTGCCCCACCCTTGCAGACTTAACCCCTGGGCCATAACTTTGAAACGGTTGAGATCCCCACCCCAAGTCTATACATACACATTCTGGACAAAAAGAGACGAATGCAGTCATGATATTGGAATTGTTCCTTTGGTCTGGCCACAACCCTAGGGATCTAGTTTCTGAATCACAGCTTGGGAACAATTGAGATCCCCACCCCATAACCATACATTAAATTCCTGGGCATGAAAAAGCTAATGTAGACATACTACAAGAATTGGCATTGGGGTCTGGCATATTCCCTTGGATCTCATTCGGAGAATATTTTGCCATGATTGCTTAGATATCCAGGAAAGCGATACAGGCCATATGAGCCTCTTGTTTATATTCTCAATCTTCTGTTTTATTTTGACAAACTTGAAATTCATATCCAAATGATTTTATTTATATTCGAAATTTCCTAATTCGTATATTTGAAATCATGCGATTTGTTTACTTAGCCAATCTTGTAATTTATTTTGTAAACTCATGTCTTCTGTATTCAAAATCATGAAATTCATTTTCTAAATTTTGTGATGAATATTCAAATATTATTTGCATCACCTGTTGTTATCAACTGCGTTTTCCATAACCGCAATTCATAAAGTAGACCACATGAAGTTCATGCCCCCATAAACCTCAACATAGCATGATTCAATCCTTAAAGTAGTTTACCGGGCTAGAAAAATACTGACACTCCACGTTCACGCTCTTTTAATACTACATGCTCCTTTGTTCTTAACTTTTCCTGTTTACATACATTTCCCTTAATATAACGCCAAACTCAATTATAACGCCAACATTTGGATGGATAAGTGACAGTATAACGAATAATAGATATACAATGTATTTGAATGATTCCAACTTCTTTTCCTTGTCCAACGTTAACTGAAGCAACAAATCATACATACATATTTTTGATTCGTTATAACAAGTGTCTGTGGTCTGTTAAATTAAGAGCTGCTGTTGCTTGTTGTCAATGTAAGACTTACCGATATGTGTTGTACTTATATTGTTTTGAGTGTCTATTGACAACTTTAGAGTTACCGATATTTGTTGTCAATATGAGAGTTACTGGTGTTTGTTGTCGAATTGCCACAGCGTGTCACGAGTAGAACCCCAGTCCATCATCCTATACGTCCACGAATATGCACTCACGTGATTATTTTGGATTAATGTAACATCGATAGCTAAATCGATTTTATTACTGCAATCGACTGTGACACTTCAGGACCGTTTTAAAGCGTCATCTCACTGAAACTAATAACTCGTACATGTTAGCATTGCACTTCCTCCGGGTACTTTATCTTGACAACGATCAAACCATATGCACGCAATCAAAAGATACCGCAGAAAAAATTTTGGATAAAATGGAAATGGATGATATATGTCCCATAGGTAACGAGGGCGAGGGAGGCGGAATATCAGTGTTGGTCTCCTTGATTAGAGAGCACTAAAGCTTATCTGCGATTCTGCAAAGCCCCCCCAAAATTAGTCGCCTCATCACGTGTAGGGATACAGCTGGTACCTCTAGATCTCCCCCTCCGCCCTCCGCCGTCCCCGAACTTGCAGGTGGTTATCAATCTCTGCCAGAATGCTATTATTTTGATTAGGGAAATGAAGAAATGACCAAGCCTACACATCGCCGAAGGTTTCGTGACTAAATCGCCTATCTCTACTACATATGATGAGAAATATTGGTCCCGTAAGCAACTCATTGGAAATTGATGATAAGCTATATCAATCAATATGCTACGAAAAAGGAAATTAAGATTCTGAGATGGAGCAAGACGATTGATACACATTCTATCAATACTTGATTGTTCAATTATTCATGCAAAGATTTAGGAAGAAGGACGCAACCATTAAAATTATGTAATCTTTTTTTATATATATTTTCGATCTTTTCTTTTTCTGCAGATGAGACATGCGTCCGACATAATTTGTTCCCAACTAATACTGAGCTTCACAGGGACAAGTCTACAGACTTCCAGTATCTCGGTAAGTAACACAGGGACATGGCTACAGACTTCCAGTATCTCGGTAAGTAACACAGGGACAAGGCTACAGACCTCCAGTATCTCGGTAAGTAACACAGGGACATGGCTACAGACTTCCAGTATCTCGGTAAGTAACACAGGACATGGCTTCAGACAAACTCAGTGGAACAAGTACTTTAGGTATGTCGGAAAGTAAATTTGGGACAGGTATCTCGGAAAGTAACAAAAGGACAGATCTGTCGACTAACGATATCTCGTTTAGTAGTTGTAGGGCAGTTCTACTAATTTCCGGTATCCCGATGAGTTATGATGGGTTACAGGTAAATCGGTTGGTAACACAGGGAAAACGTTTCAAGACTTGAGGTATATAGGTAAGTAACAAAAGGACAACTCTGTAGACTTCCAGTAGCTCGTTCAATAACATGGGGACAAGTCTAACCAATTTAGGTATCTCGGTTAGTAACAGAAGGGCAATTCTGTATAGAATTTCGGTTTATCGGTACGTAGCAAGTTTATACTTCCGGTTAGTAACAATGGTACAGGGATACAGACTTCCGGTAACTCGGTATCACAGGGATAAGTCTTTAGATTTCCACTTTCTGGATATCCAATTGACGATCATTCTAATAACTTCTTTTCTGTTACCACAATTCGCCGCATTCCGCCAGTCTCTCGCTGGATCTCTATGAGACTTCTTGGTCACAAAATAATAAACCAATTAGTTCGCATTGGTGATTTGTTGACGAACATACTGGAGAACAGCGGGAATTAGGTACACTTCCTGATTTGATATTCGCTATGCACGAGACATCAAAATATTTTAATATCTTGGGTTCCTTGACTGTGTTGGGCAGTCGCCAGATACTAGCCACAGGTCGGTGCTTTTTTTCCGGGTTCTCTGGTTTTCATCCACAAAACCATGTACATTATTTAAGGTCAGCTTCGCACCTGTATAGCTTAATCAATATATAGTTTGTAATTGCCTACTCTAAGTAAGGCCTCAGGCATTTATTGAAATGTGGCAGTTACTGTGTACCGGGTAATTTTCGAGGCAGTGTTATTTTCGTGGAAGTTTTCAACCGAGAATTTGAATTTCCCTGAGTTCTTCAATTTTCATTCTGATCGGAAGCCAATATTGCTATGGATTTCGTTGATGCCAGATAGTATAATATACAGTTTTTTAGTCCCAAACTTGTTGGTCTGTCTGAGTGCTCGCCAAATATTGCTCAGACACTTTGAGTGATTTGCGATTTAAGAACGTGTTGTTTCAACCATTTTTAAATGAGTGCGTCATCCCTACCTTAGGCCAAACAAAAAAGGTGTTTCCGGTAACCCTACCTACCCAATTAAAGTTCAAGTTCTTTATTAACTTTAAGTCTTACGACTTATCAGTGTAAACATATAACAAACAGGATATTTACATATGTACAAATAGCCACATTGGTCACAGGAGAATGAACAATACACACATACAAAATGTCATATATCTGACCGGCGCTTATTTGCCGCTATCAGATACTTTCCAAGATTACATAATTCTTTAATATTCTGTGTATTAAGTAATTGAACAAGCTGATATACACGTGGGTTATTTCTATAGTAACATTTTAAATACTTCCGTTTTAAATCTGTTTATCTTGTGCAAACTAAAACAAAATGAAACTCGTCTTCTATGTCATTAAGTTTACACTTTGTACATAATCTATTAGTTCTACCAGTGCCAACAAAACGTCCAGATTCAATGTTTAATTTGTGAGCTGATAGCCTAAGTCGAGCAATTTCTTTCATATAACCCTAATGTCGCCTATCCTCAAATTTTAAAGGCAATTTTCAAAGAAGTACGGTTAAAGTCAAGTTTACTCTCCTATATAAACACCACATACAATTATTTTTAAAAACTAAACTTGTTACCTACATACCTACCATAAATGATTCTAACATTGTTACAGGAAACATATATTTTTGTGTCTGTCCTTCAGAATTTTAACCCTCATAATATATACACCGAAAACTTAAAAAGTTTAAACGAATTAAAGATATATCACTAATTGAATTAAAGATATCGCTTATTGAATTAAAGATATCTCCTAAACTAATAGAGATATTTCAATTAGATTATGATATTTATCCTACAGTACATTATATATCTCCTTCAGGTATTTACAGTTTAATTTGGCTTGCCCTATGCAACTGCTGGAGTTGGATACTTATTTTCGTTCCGAAAATACTTCATTGCGTTTTTTATTTTTCGTCATGTTATTTTTTTCCATTCACAGATTATATGAGGACTGGCTCTGCGTTCGGGATTATCGCCCTCCTCGTGATGGTTCTAGGACACATATTTGCAATATATACCCTGAGACGGCCGCGCTATATCCTAAAGAGGCTGACCGCTCTTATGCACCTAATGACAGGTATGATAATGCGTTAATGAATTATAGGTGTGACGTTGTTTTAATTAATGACAGGTATGAATAAGTGGAGAGAAAATGCACTGTACAAAGATCCCAAGTGTTGCCAAGAATGCAGTGATTTATGCTGGTCATTTCCAACTTAAGTCGCCCCCTTACCAATCATGAAGTGGCACATGTTACGGGCAATATGGCACTTGGCGCAATATTGATATTCAGAATCAGGTCAAAATCAGGTCAAAATCAAGCTTGAACGAGTAATTGGTATCATAGGCATATACACAAGGTTCATGAAAATCACAGCATCGTTTCTAGGGTTATCGCACGAAAAACATGACTTTTTCACAAAATTCAAGATGGCCGCACTCAATTTGCAGAGTTGTTCAGATTTGGTTAAAAATTAAACCTGGAAGGGTGATTGATATCATAGATATATGTCGAGAAGTTCATGGAAATCAAAGTATTCCTTCAAGTGTTATACACGGAAACCATTTGTGCGACGACGCCAACGATGCTCACCATCTTGAGACTCCAGGGGTTACGTTCAATTGAGTTCTGTACAGAGACGGCTAGCAAGCTAACCCGTGGAGTTTTGAGGATGCCAATGAACAGAAGGGGTCTTCAATATATGCCACTTTTGCTTCGTTGGCGATACAAAAACAGATATGGTGATGTTTTCCTGCTTTGAAAGTATAATATAAATATCATTGGCATTGCCCACAAATCCACAGCGGTGAAGCCAGTTCTGGGTAATCATTTTCCAAGATTCTCACGAGAAGTTCCCGTCTTTCATGTTACAAATAATACTTTTTAAAATGAATTGATTTTTTTTTAAACCTAAAATACCAACGCTTATTAAATATAACGTGCGTTTGTGGTATTTTACTCTCAAAAAGCTTTATTGTGGAAGATATTAACACAATAGACATTATAGCAAGACAGCGCTTTATCTTAGAAGTGTCGGCTCCAGGATATTTCAGTAAGACGGACGGCACTAGACACCAGTATAGACGATATCATGACATTTTAATGAGAGTGCATTTTATAAAAGTGCCGATGCAAGGAAATTCAAGTTTTGTTACACTTTAATCGATGTCTCAATAAATCTCACAAACCTTACGACGGCGCCTGATACCGAACATCCTCGAAATTCCATGGGTCACGCTCTCCCTTACGTTCCCTTCATAGTTACGCTCACTTACGTTCTTTGCAGAAATGGTCGGAGAGCGTAACCCTAGGAATTTCGAAGATGAATAGCGAGCGACCTTCGATCCACGGAACAGTGTCTATCAATGTAGTCTCGTTCAACTAGACGCGGCGTAGCTTTGCGGAGACAATAAGAATTTGGTTGAATGAGATTATTATCAATGTTGTAAATACAAGTTGTAGAGAATGGCAGTCCGCCAACCTCGGTCAAAATTGTTCAAAGCTTAATTATCCTTACGATCCATTTATCCCAATTAAAAAAGCAAAACATGTTATTCGTCCTATTTCATGCATGTATTTAGAAACAAACAAAGTGACCTTACTAACGGCCCTGCCAGAGAAAATGAACCGACCGACCTCACCGCGACGCTTGTAAATGTATTGTAATCAGGGCAAGTCCTGTTACTATTTGTGTTAGGGATCCTAGTAACCTCACGATCTTTGTAACAGCTCTCTCGTCAACAGAATCGTCTAATGTTCGCTGTGTATAACTAAACCTGCCAATTTCCAAGGCAACGTACATGTACATGTAGGTAAGGGTCATCGCCAACACAAAAACCTGCCCAACTCCCAATGTAAACAAAAACAAAAACCTGCCAAAGGGAGGTAACTCGCAAACTCTTATCTCCTCTCAGATTTATTTTGTATTTAATTTTCCTAAAATAGATGGAAGGTACCTTTATTATAAATAATGAAATGTACTGTTAGCTATCCACCTCGTCCCTGGACGGTGATACTCAATTACTTATGTTTGAAACACGTGAACGTTAAAATGTAGCGCGATACTCAATTACTTATGTTTGAAACACGTGAACGTTAAAATGTAGCGCTATGATTAAACCTGCATATCTATATAATTATAGCGATTGGTAATGTTTTTCAAAAGATATCGGAATTCTCACATGTCAACATACTATAAGAGGTTTATATAACCTAGGGCTGGAACGGTATTTCGTATCGTATCGTATCGCAATACTTTCTTGTGTATCGTATCGAATTGTTTTGTTTGTCTGTATGGCGATACACTAACAGTACTGAAACTATCAATTACTTTTTATCAAACTTGTGTTTTTTTAATGCTTCAGTTAAGGTGTGGTCCACTATGTAGTCATACTCAAAAACACTAAAAAGCATACACAATATAGTTTGATAGTATTTATCATTGAGGTGTATGATAAAACTTGATAAAATCCTGCACTTAATCATTATGAAGTTGACCTTTTAAGCAGATATTTGTATCGTGATACATATCGTATCGTAAGCATCGTACCGCAATACGTATCGTATCATGAGATATGCGTATCGTTGCAGTCCGGTCTAGAACATACGCCGGACGGAAATAATTCCTTAAATATATTTGAAATAGTCGGAATGTTATAAAATACAAATTAAAGGAAGTTCGATTTTAACATATTTTATATCACAACTTCTCTCAAACGAATTAGACACACGTTCACAAGCTTATCAATGTCAACTTCGACAAAGACCCTATGAATATTAAAAATAATATACCAATAAATATAAGATAATTGTAGACATAGGACGGTCGGATGGCGCAGTGGACAGTGCACTCGTCTTTCACCAAGACGACCGGGGTTCGATTCCCTGATCGGACGTGAAAAGGTATGGGGTCACCTGTCCGACCACGTGGGTACTCCGGTTTCCTCCCACATTAAAACCCGTGCGCGCTACCATCCGGGCAAACAAGAGTAACTAATATAAGTTGCAAGAACTTGTTTCGCAAATGTTATAAAATGAATAAAGTCTCATTTCATAATTTTAAATGTATCGCTTAGCTAGGAAAGCAAGCAAAGATTGTGTTATAAAATACGATTTACTTCTATGCATGTAGTTTGTGAGCCATGCGAGTATTCTACTTAACTTGGGGGTACTGTCTGCTTCGGCAGTAGTCCGAATTATTCTGACGTTTTATCGACTTTTTTCATATCGGTCTGTCGTCGATTAACGTCAGAACTCCGGCCCTCTATAATATGCGGGAAATATGCGACCCGTGCCCGGAGCGCACTTCAAACTGATATCGTCACTTTCACACACATGTCGCACATGGATCGAAAGATCTAATCTTTATGTACTAGGTGATATCAATAACATGTTTCAAAGATCATTACTAAAAGTATTTTCCAACGTTTTCTATACCAACCCATGTTTTTAATGGAAATTAGGCCATGAGCAATGTCACATGACTTGACGAGATCTCGCGTTACCGAAGGTATTATCCCAAGTTATGACGTAAGCCGGCGAGACTTTAGTCACGTGGCATTAGAAGGCGGGGCTATCAAAAAACTAGAGTAAAACAGAGTAAGTTTGAAAAAATATGTTTTTAGTGATTGTATTAGTTGTTTGAGGCATGTAATTTATGTTCATCTTGTGCATAAAGAATAGATCTTTCGATCCATGTGCGACATGTGTGTGAAAGTGACGATATCAGTTTGAAGTGCGCTCCGGGCACGGGTCGCATATTTCCCGCATATTATAGAGGGCCGGAGTTCTGACGTTAATCGACGACAGACCGATATGAAAAAAGTTGATAAAACGTCAGAATAATTCGGACTACTTAGTCAGCTGCAAAAGCGGGCCATTCAGTCCTTCACTGGCCTACTTATATCTGTTGCATCCGTTACTGGCCAATTGTCTCTCTGCCCTTTGTGATAAGCGTCATCCTGCTCGTTTGTGGAGCCATGTGACCGGGGCTGGATGTGATTTTCTGATACTGATATGGGGTGTGTCGTTCCCATTCCTTCCCGAAAATATCTGCTTGGAAGTCTTTGATTTCTAGACAGCGCGGCTCATGGCTCTCAATCTTTTTCTCGACGTTTGAATCTGATGCACTTTTGAGTTTCTATCTATTCGTCTAATGCCTTCTAACCGATTCCTGTGGGTCTGCAAGATTCTTCCATATGTCTTTTTCGAGAATTATAGTCCATACCTTCCACAGTCAAACCCCTTGAACCTGCCATGTGCCTTTTCACAGCCAGTTCCAGTTTTAAGCATCGTTGTAGATTCCGAATTAAAACTTGTTTGGGTCCTTGCAACCTTTTGGGTCAAATTCAGGAGAGTTCGTCCATATTTTTTTTCTGACGCTGCTTCAGACACTGAGCGTTTGTCTGTCTGTCAATCACTTTTTCAGACTATAAAATCGGAAACTTCTTCAGCATTATAATATAATATAGCATACTGTATTGCCGCTGTTCTGGAAATACGCTCGTGCTGCTACGTAAGCAAATAAAAAATAAATAAAAAAGTACGCGTCACGTGCCCTCTCGCGTCCAGATTCCCGCTTTACGCGTGCATTTTTTTGGGCATATGGTATAGCCTACTCGGTGCGTTACTCAGCGAATCGCATAACCCCATGCAAAAAAAATAACAATCGAAGGGAGACCACTCTAAGTCGGAAACGTAAAACTGTTTTGTTATCTTTTTTTTTGTCACACCTAAACACGATCAAGCTTCACCAAGAGTTGTCGTCCTTTACACTTAAATGTAGAGATTGAAACATTATGTTATTTCCAGATTTCTCGATATTTTGTTTATAAATCATTCCGTAAAATAAGACATCAATACAGATTCAGTAATTCTTTTATCCAATCAGAAAAATTGCTTTGATTATTAACTCTGTATTTGTAAGATACATATTTTCTCAACACGCACGTACTAATAAATGAATTTTATTTTCAGCTGCTTGTGTGTTAGTGGAGAATGAAGTTTTCATAAGACGAGTAGAATACGCCGACACTCATCTTCCGGAACGAATTCCAAATAAGGCGAACCACGCATACGGATACTCATTTGTGTTGTCATGGATGTGCTTTGTGTTCTTCGTCATCGCTGGTATTGTCTTCCTGCTGACGTCACACAAACGGAAAGCAGATATGGGAGACATAGATGATACGGGTGCGGAGGAGGACGAACCGGTAGCCATTCGTCGGTAACATCAGTGTATCTTCAATACATCGGAAATCATTGCTGGTAACAGGTGAATATCGCCAGTACATCCGGGTCTTATTTCTGTGAAGTTCTACGATGCATATGTATATATAACAAAGCATACACCTCACAGAACCAAGTCACGCGCTGTCACGTACTGTTTCGGCGATCTTTAAAAAGAAATGTCCGAAATGATACACCAAGGTTGCGATATCAAGAAAATATGACTATGAAAACTCAGATGCCTTGTGAGATTGTTCGGATCACCTCGCCCTCGTGATATTTTAGAGACTGTTCGATACAGTCGGATCACCTCGGCTAATTGCAGTTGTTTTCATCTAACCCCCATGTTTGGACTAAGACATTCCGAGTGTGTCTGATAAGGACCGTGCTCGAGGACCCTCCGACTTGCGGTTTGGTCGCAGCATGTCCGCCAAGTCTTGACCACCCACTACTTTTCAAAGTATCCTGTGCGCATGTTTCAAAATGCATTGGTTCTTCCCATTAAATTAACAAGTACAGGGCGCGTATCGTTGGATAATCTATAGCTAATGTACCTCGCAAAAAAGTGATTAAGATAATATTAAACAGAGGAACATTTACCATGTAAGGAAAACGTGGTCAGAAATAAGATCTTGTCCCTCCGAAGTAAAACTGTTATGATCAGCCCGGTTCTTCCGGGGTGTAGCTGTCCATTCCTGATGGATATATTTTCACGACCATAAGTAATTTTAACTGAAAAGTTATAATACATGGCGTTTATTAATGTTCACCAACTTAAATCAATGCTTGCTGCATATATTGCTTCCATAGATAATGCAATACTCGTAAATGACGCCGAAGAATTTCTGAAAGTATGGGAAGATGATTGCTCGCTTAAATAGAGACACTTTGCAGAATGTCAGTGCTACGCTCTAGCTTCGGTCTCTCAAAGACAATGAACACCTGCTGTATCAGGGAGGCAAACCCCATTGTTAATCATATATGGAACCAAGATAACTGTTTTACACCTGCTCAATACTTTTGATTAACGACTTACCTGTTATTCTTCTGAACTTTTAACGACATTTTGATTGACGTTTGAAATGTGTCACTTTTAAGAGCTTTATATATATATATTTTTCCTACCATGACGTTTGCGGATTTTGACTGCCTCACTCACCTCGCTTCGATGTTTTCTTAATTTCCCGAAAATAATTTTGTATTAGTACGGGTTATGCTTAGAAGTGTTACAATCCCGTTTCATTTGTATGGTATTTAGTTTATAAGAGACAAAAATTGACGGCATGAAAATACATGTATTTGTAATGAATGGAATCCATCCAAATTTGGAAGTTTGGATTGGGAACGGCTGCCGTTGACAATATGAACCGTTGTATCAGCAAATGATCAGAAAACGCAATTCCAAACATCAAGATTCCCCCCAAGAGAAGTGAGAGAAAGTGTTATTTTGATTTCAACTGTTTGTATGTTTTTCTTTAATAAGATCACGAAAGGATCTTCGTACCACTGCAAAACCCTGTAACTTTGCATTTGAAAAAAACCTTGCAGAACTTTTACAAAAATAAAAGGAAGAAAAGGAAAAAGAAAAAAAAAATGTGTCCTGTGTGTACAAAATCACGAAACAATCTTAAGACTTTCATTAAAGTTTTTGCTTAACCAATCACATATGACATAACTTTTCATGACGTTATCTGTGATTGGTCAAGTTCAAATTTAAGACAATTTTAGACTAAGATAGTTTCATGATCTCGGGGCCAGGATTCGAACCTTGATCCTCCGATCCATACACTATCGCACTAATAAGCTGAGCTACCTGGTCAGCAGAAGATGTCTGGCCCAGTAGAACTACATTGATATACCAAACGACAGTAAAGGGAGGTAACTGTATGTACGTTAACATTACTGTGGAACTCTCTAGTGTTTTCCTGCAGTGGAACGATGATCCTTAATGATTTTCTATTTAACGTACTTATAACAAATGTATGGAAATATGATTGAAATTAAATTTACTGGGTTTACCCATAACGTATAAAGGGATTTTACCTCAGGCACCTTACTCCTTAGGGTTGTTTCTACAATCTTTATTTGCCTTTTATCATATACATATTTGTGACTGTTTATTGGGCTATGACATGCATTTCACACATTTCACATCGCCACACTGTGGCCTATAAAGGGCCATTCAGATTGTGTTCGTTGACCATCTTATGCTCTTTCCCAAAGTTTGCTTTAAGGCTTCATCAACTCGTTCCTTGTGAACTAACTTATTATCAGCGACTGTGCCCACTATGCCAGAACGAGAGGAAAGCGAGGGAGTGCTGCGTCTAGTTTCCTTGCATATTTTATTATTTGGTGGGTGAGCGCCCAGTCTAGTTTGAACGTGTATGTTCACCTGGAGAGCGAGATGTGCAAACGCCAGCTCCAATTTGCCTGTTTGAACTTGGAGAGCGAGAAGTTTCACACGGCGAGTATGCGCTCTCTCCATTTTTCCTGTATGTACTTATTTGGAGAGCGAGAAGTGTCACACGGCGAGTGTGCGCCCTTTCCTATTTGACTGTAATATATTTACTTGGTGAGTGTCTTCCGATTCCTTTTCTTCAACTGATTTGATATGTTACATGTATTTATGCCTTAAGTTCAACACCTATATACAAACTGTTAGAAATGTTGCTATTTCATGTCGATCACTGTGTAACAAACAGTGAACAGATTTGTACATTTTGTATCACCGTATGCCATCTGTGTATGATGCTTTACACACATTCTTCCAATAAACTCCGCAAATCACAGACGGGGTCCAGAACTATTCTTTAACCTTTTATGATAAGCATGCATGCTGTTAGAAAACTTTACGCAGATTTCTCTCTAGAGTTGTAATTCAGGATGTATACATGAACTAATTGGTGTTTGTCGGAGCGGAACCGGAAGTCGCCGTAAAAAGACGTCAGCCAAAAACTGCCAATATTTCAGACAACCAATATACACTAGCTAAAAAATACTTTGGGAGAAAAGGATAATTTTCATTCCTTTCTCATTCATACCTTTGGGATGTAATTAAACCAATTTTAACCTGAGTTGAAGATTTTTTTGTGGACATCTAACCTGGTGTTGGCATTTTGTCATGATTTGGCCCGTTTTTGGAGAAGATCACGATATCTCCTCTACTCATTAAACGTCTTCTGAACACATACTAGTAGAATCTACTCTTGTGTAATGTAGGGAGACAAATTTCAACCCGATTAAGGCTCTGCCGAGTGCTAAACTTCAAAAGTCTTATATCCCGAGGGTTGAAATTTTTTAATCTTCATCGCACAGGACAGATTCATTAATTTTCTCCCACACAATACGTTTTAACACATTCACCCCTGAAAACAACATTTGATCGCTTCCATTTCAAAGGTTGGAATAGTTTATTATGAAATTTCAGGGGAGAAACGGTTAATGATGAACCCATTGCCCTGCATTACAGCAAGTGCGCATGACATGTTTGACAGTATTGATGACGTTACCCTGGTTACAGTACATACATTGTAAACTGATGTCGCGATGGTGACGTTTGTTGATGGAAGTGCACCTGTGAATTGTGGGGGGGAAAGTCTTCTTTTTTTTTTACTCAGAAAATTGCCTCCTCTTATCAACAGATACCAAATGAATTCAATTTTCTATGATAACGGATTTTATGTTTTGGCAACAAAAAATGATTTGCTACCACAAGAGATCGAATCATTTTAATATGGTTTTAGCCATTAGTCCAATGAAAACTGAATTACGGAATTGTGTACATTATTGTTTCAATATTTGTTATTTTCTTTATTATTGTTTGTATTTTAAGCAGCAATGATGCTAAACGTTTTAAATCACTTTTCCAGGAAAGTGCGTGTTAATTACCCGTAAATCGAGCAAACATTCTTACGTTCTATGTATGCAATCCTCTTTCTATCCATATTCACTTCTATTCAAATTCAGTGTGAATACTTTCTCGATTTGCAGGTAATTTACGTCACGAAAACAGTAGTATTTTGTACGAATCGAAGATTTTATTCATCTTTGAATACAATTCTCAATGTCTGCGATAACTCTTATGCGTGTTTAATCGTACAAAAATAAGAAAAACCATTTTGTAAAAAATATCTAAGTTTGCAAATGACTTAACAAAGAGCACAAACAGAAAAATGGCTTTTGTTAATAAGCACGAAAGGATCTTTTTTGTAAAATATAGAACGTAAAAAAAAAATTAAAATCATAATTACAAATGGTTTTGTTTACACGTATACGTGCTTACAATTATACTTACATTTACGTGTAAACGATTTAATTTTTCTTCAAACTGATGTGTATGCCTATACAGTTTTGTCTCTTAACTTGCTGCACGTGCTTTTTTAATTTTCCATTTAACTACACGTACGATATTTGTTTTACTACACATGTGATATAATTTCTCGTTCAGTGTTTAAGGTAAACAGTACAACAATGCTAGAATACTTTATTACTATTATGAAACACTGGTTTACAAAATCTGTTTAATTTTTTTTCTACAGAAGCGTCTATGCAAATTTCGAAAACAAAATAAAAACAAATATAGCCTTAAGTACTGGGGAACGTTATATTGTCAATCAAATACTTTACTATTACCAAAGGAAATAACTCAGTCTGGAAAAAAAATAATATTTTATTGCTTCATTTGTGTGCATATTTAAGGGATAATATATATTAAAATATGTTAAATATGGTACTCTTCTTCGCGTTTATAACTGATGCATTGGTACGCTTCACCTTATTTGATGTTGAATACGAATACACCTTCATGCGGTTAATCACGTGATGTCCACGTGTCTCGACACGTCAGCGCATTTTTTTGTTTTTTGTTTTTACATATCAAGGATCCATATTCTACTGCAGTAACTTTGCATCGGATAGTTTTTTCCTGGCATGACTTTAACTTTGATAGATTATGTCTGTAAAGAAAACTTACCTATCGGAACTTTGATGAAAAACGATAAACATAAGGTAAACAAAGAAATCAACAACAATGCTGTTGCAACGAAGCCAGACCGAGGTTCGAACCCAGGGAAGTATCTGGGCCAAGTCGCGCTACAGTTAAAATTTTACATATGGAACGAAATTAAAGGGAGGTCACTGTATATTTAAAAACAAATACTACATTGGAATTCTCTTATGTTTTTTTCTGCAGTAGGACAGGGATCCCTAATGTATTTTAGAACAGATACGCCGTCATGGCAGGGTATGTATTATGGTTATGGCGAAATATGTTAAGCAATTAATGTACGTCACATTTTTCGCGACATTATTTATTTGTATGTTGTTTCCACGGTACGGCTCTCTTCCTTCGAACATAATTCTGTGTGTTAACATTGATCATAACTAACGATTATTTTATATTTTGCAATAAAAATCTGATCCCTCATATATATATTTATCTTCTTGTTCTTTTATTAACAATTAACTGAATCTCACAACATAGGGACTCTGAGGTCAATTATCTGGGTGGCCGAATGGTTAAGGCGTCTGACCATCTACGATCACTATATAGTCCTCGACCGTACGAAGGGCAGTCCCCGGCTAATGTCTACAGGTTTTCTCCGTGTTTTCCTCCACCATCAAAATCCAGCATGTCGTTAAATAATCATAGCTGTAAATGAGACATATAGCAATAACAGATCAGTCCATGATCAACTCCGTCCTTAAATGTCCATAGCTGTTGATAGGACGTTAAACAATACTAAACCAAATCATGATCAACTAAGCGCATCCTTTTACACGGACATCATATTCAAGTATGTTTATAAATAGATATATATTTTAAATTTGTTTGGATTTATTCTGGCAAATCCGAAAGCGAATTCTGAATCACTGAATGGAGGTCTTAATTGCAAATTTTAGTGTCGCACGAAAAATACCTCAGAACTGATCGACTTCAAGAAATGTTTTGGATTAGATTGTCCATTCTTATATACCATAGCACGCATGCTATGGCACATAAAAGAATATCCGCATCAATTCCACAGAAAGAGATATGTCCCTGTAGATATTTCAAAATATTCTTTGATGGCAAATTTTCAGCTGTGGTCTGTAGGGGATGGACTAAACTCTACCAGGAGGACATTCTAAAAACTGATTCCATTACAGTAACATGTTTTCGCGAAATGCAGTTATTTGCGTTCTGAACCTCTGAATCAACGTCACATTTCCCGATGTAGTACTTGTTAACATTCGGAACGCTAAAATTAGGTAACATTTCCTGGCATTATTCTTGTTAACACTTTGAACAAATTCATGGATGTGGAAACTATTTCATACATGTCTACATGTCATAGACTCCGCCACCTTGCTTTGTGTTCTGCTACTACTAGCCCCCCACCACTGGGTCGCGGGTTCGAGACCTACTTGGGGCAGTCGCCAGGCACTGGCTGCCGGTCGGTGTTTTTTCTCCGGGTACTTCGGTTCTCCTTCATCACTAAAACCTTGCACGTCCTTAAATGATCATAGATGTCACGTAGTATGATGTAAAACACAAACAAGCAAAACACTGTTTTCAATATTTAAAATATTGATCTTTCAAATAATTCTTCGGTAACTCTCGCCCAAGACCTCAAATAAATATAATGCATCCGTTCTGAGTAATATATAGCTGACTGTCAAATTTTTTAGTCAAACAAAGACATTTTAAATTGTTTTTCAGATATTCTGTAGACACAAATAGACACAGCCTTTCAATAGAGAATTCGTGTTGTAATTCACAGTGTTGCCACTGTTTTCGGCAATTCTGTCACATTTTACGGTTTTAAGGATACATCATTTGACAGTTTGTGCCAATACCACTGCAAAGCGTTTCTGTATATACAGACATTGTTCAAATACGTGTCATCAGGGTTAGACTAATTTATTTGTACCTGTACCATCGTCAAACAAATAGATATATACGGAAAACATTTGTTTATATAAGGTCAAAAAGACGGCTGACGTAACTAACTTTGTGTGCAAAATAACATATTTTTTTATCGTTTTTTAACGTTTTCAAAAACTGATAGCTTGTCAAGGTGTCTGCTACCACTAGTCCTCCACCACTGGGTCGCGGGTTCTAGACCTACGCGAGGCAGTCGCCAGGTACTGGCCGTATGTCGATGTTTTTTCTCCGAGATCTCCGGATTTTCTCCACCACCAAAACCTGACTGGTCCTTAAATGACCATAGACAGCTGTTACTAAGACGTAACACACAAACAAACCAATCTTGAACTGTCGATCTTGCTTACCATTCATCAGCAGGGCGCTTAAACTTATCTTACACGTGTAAAGCGTCTTGGTGACTAAGACTATGGTCTAAGGGGATTTCATTGCATATCGTGTTACACAAACATCAGCTTTCAGAGAAAATAACATAGAGTGCGCTACGTCAACATATTTTCATCGCCTACATTAATGAGTACAGCAAGATTCTAGTCATTTGGATGCAACACCACTCGTCGTTTTAATAACGAGTAGAATTGTTTTTACTTTTGTAAGGAAGACCAGCCTTATCGTCATGCATGCGATCAAGCATTTACAGTCAAACACTTTATGATTGAAAGCGCTGATTTCAATATGATTGAATGCGCCGATTTCAAACAAATACGTGACAGATTTTATGATGTACCGTCTGTGAAAAGATGATTCTATACAGTTTCTGTGCAATTAATATATGACTATTTACACTCTATTGATCTTTACAATAAAATATGATATATTGTGCAGCCAACTTGTTCGATATTGATGTATCTCTTAGTCCTTTACATATTTTAAGGTATTTAGTTTTGATTTGATGTGTTTATTTTCGTGAATGCCGTTTTTTGTTGTTTTTGTTTTTATCGAAGGGCCGTTAAACAATACAAAAACACAACAAAACAAAACTTGTCTGTTAAAAGTGGAAGGTATTTCAAAGTAATGATTATCGATTGGAGGGTTATCGTACCACTGCCAAAAACTGAAACTGAGTATTGGCAATTGTTTTTCCGTGACATGTCTATGGTTGTGGCAAATCGTTTCTGAATTAAAAATGATATCTTTCGGGACATTTATGAAAAAAATGAAATAAATAAGATTACACAAACAAATTAAAATCATTAACAGTGTTCTGAGTGTAAAATTTAAGCAGGGTTAGACCGGTATTCGAGCCCTGAAATCAGACTAACTTCTTTCGCTCTAACCGACTAAGCTACCCGGTTAACGGGAGTGTCCTGGCCCAACTATGCTTAACTGATATCCAAAATATTGTATTTATGGTTAAATTTCCTTCAACCTGTATTAGCTCAGCCTGACAAAATTGTACAAGAACGTTCAGCATCAATTCTTATTGGCGCATGGTTACGCCACACTGACGACAAGGCACGGACATGTGTAGTATTACTCTGGTCCGCATGTTGTTTTTACTAAAGCATAGTGAGCAAGACCCTATCTTATATAGATAGATCTGTCCCATTGGACGCAGCACATTAAGAATAGCTCATAGATCAAAATTAAGCAAACAAAAATCATCAGTGTAGCGACGAACGAAAACTATCCCTAACATGATGATTTTGGGTTACTTCCGTCTTTTCGTATTGCAGAGTTACCTGCACTTGTGAGCAGGTATTGATTGTTACGTCATTAGTTTGCGTCATTTTCTCAAAACATTATGACGTTACCCTCAAAAACAATTGACGTAACAATCAATACCTGCTCACAAGGGCAGATAACTATGCAACACGAAAAGACGGAATAGAATGCCAAAGGAAAAAGACCTTGAATTAGTCGACTGTAACTGGGATATATCTCCACCTATTTCTTATGGATGGTGTAATTTTGTTTAACGTCCTATTTACAGCTAACATACCTCCATGTGTGTAGTGTATGCGTGCTTGCGTGTGTGTATGCAGGAGACGGGGCATATTGGTGTGCTTGCCTCCTTGTGATAGCGCAGATCTGATGCCGACGTTATAGTGCTATCTCACTGAAATACCATGCCGAAGGAACCCAGCACAGCATTCCGCCCGGCCACATTGTACTGACAACGGGTGAACCAGTTGTTGCCAATCCCCTAAATGCTGAACGTTAAACGGGCAATAACAACTACTATTTTTTAGGACTTTGGTATGTCCCGGCCTGGGTGTTTTACTAACCAACGAAGACTGAGCCAGTAGATTTGCACAAAAACCACGAAAGAAAGAATAACCAATGTTAACTATTAATCTCTTGTCTGACGCTACTTTTCTGGTTTTATAATTTTTCTGGGGCTCAACCCTTGGACCCCACCTTCAATTCCCCTCCTCCCTTCCCCCAATCAATTGGATCCGTCTACGTCCGTAATGCGGTATATGAGCTTGACTTGTTTATTACTTTATTCTGTTAGGCAGTGACGTTTTATTGTTAACAATTTACGTAAAGGATGTGAAAACTAATTACCACTATTAACAATTCTGGTTCATGTGCGCATGTCTATGACGCTACAACTATGACTTGTTATAAACTCGACGCTCGCGAGACGACCTTTAATTGACCATCTGGGAGAGGCCGTCGGTCTATGAAGAATACAGCTGTTATAAAGATGTTGAAGCAGTGGATACTAAGCGAATATGCCTATTAAGGTAAGGAACTGATTGAGTCTGCTTTTAGGACTCGTGAAAACAGTTAAATACACTTATGCATAAATTAAATTGAATTATATTACTTTATTTATTGCTTGCAATTTAAATAATTATACATTTCCAAATTACATATATTCTTGATTTTCAAACAAACAACGACAAACCCGTAACCTTAAATCCTTCTCTCCAACGCTTTCTTTCCAACCCAATCTGTCTTGCGCTGTTGTTTTTACGGTGTTCCAGTTACATCATCCTATATGTTTGTGTTCTTATTTAGCTGTTCTTCGCTAGGTTGTTTTTGGCCTCCTTCTTGCCCTATTTTCTATTGGTGCCCATCCCAAAGCTGTTGTACAGTCATTTACTCCTTCTCTCCAAAAGATATGACCAATCCAGTTCCACTTTCTTCTCCTTATTTCGCAGCTGATGTCATTTATGTTGGCTAGCTGTTTAATTTCCGCATTTGGTGTTCTTTGCTGCCATCTTACTCTCAATATCCTTCTGAGACACTGGTCTGGTATTGGAAGGTGTTCAGTTTCTTCTGCTTTTGTAATTTTCCAGGTCTCACAGTCACAGTAAATCAGGTTTAACAAGCGACTTGAACAGATGTATATCATTGTCTTTCTACCAAAAGTCTGTGTACCCCAAATATTTCGGAGTCGGTGGTATGTTCCTCTTGCCTTCTGAAGCCTGTTCTTGATATCACTTCTACCTCTTCCTTCTCTGTACATTACAGCACCAAGATATATAAATTTATCAACAAAACCGCATTGATAATATTAGTATGCTTAAACATTTTTGCGGGATTTTATTAAGA